CCTAAAAAAATTACTTAAATTCATGTGGAAGTACTAAAATGCCTAAAACAAAAATGCCTAAAAAAAATAAAAATAATAATAATCCGAAAGTACACAAATAAAAGCTAAATAATAATAAATACTATATCAGTATATAAAATAATAGTATAATAACACAACCTGCCACAGTTTTAACATTTCCTTATGGAAACTTTACAGCTTTGATGGGAAAAAACACACTGTTACTTACCGTGTATTAAACAGAGCAGCTTTTATTGCGATGGATATGGCATCAAACAGGTTTCCGTCACACTGCAGAAGCTGCACACATAATTACGCATTTAAATGAATGATAAATTAACAGCATATAGATAGCAAAATATTTCATAGTATTTAAGGAAAATATTTAATTCAACATTCTCTTCCTGAGAAGTGAATATGAGGATGCTGTTATCACCCTCTTCTGGACAGATATGCGAGTCACTCACCAACACGTCCACATACAGCACCCAGCAGTTCTCTCCCGGGCAGATGCAGAGGGAACGCAGGTCCAAGCTGTGTCTGTTGTTGAACACTTTACAGAGTGTGTTACTAAGCTCCACCCCCAGCTCCTCCCCTCCACGCCCCTCAAACTCTGGAGTGGCGTTTGCTGAGCTACAAAAGCAACAACATGTCAAGCATTTCATACTCATTTACTATCAAAATGGTGAGTAAACTGATGTGACATTAGAATGCATGTCATGAACGTATAAACAAGCATCATCTATGGATATTCATTGCTAAATTGCATATTTATACACTGAAGTCCCTGCACTGGTCAATTACAGTTCCCACTATGTACATACATGGACTAAACTGTCAAATAAATTGCATATTGTCTTATTAATTGAGTATCTCAGTATCGTATGCATTAATCCTTGGAATTTATATGATTTAATGGTTAAACTTTTTTAGTACAAATAAATATGTTAAAAATAAAAAATGTCCAGAGATGTACTAAATATGGCTCATAGGATAACTCCTTAAACAGAACTAACTTAGATATTAAATGTTGTATATTCACTACAGAAATTTCCATAACTTTTCCAGGCCTGAAACCAATATTTGTAATTAATACTAAAACTAATAAAAATTGTTACTGTTAATTGAAGTTAAGCTGAAATAAATATAAAATATAAATATTGAATGAAAAACAAAGTTAGAAATGTTGCTTTGGCAGCTAACTGAAATAAAATAAGTTTCAATGAAGTACTAAAATTACTAATAAAAAAAATAAACTGTAGCTAAATAAAAATGACTAAATCACAACAAAATGACTCAAATCTTTTACATTAAAAAGACCACCTAAACATATAAAAGCTTATTCAAAATATTAATAAATACTACAATAGAATGTAAATAAAAATATAGCTTGTGCACCTACATATGCATTATGTACCAAACTGAGAAATGTCTAAATTGCATGATGATTTTTAAAAGCTATTGCACAGTCATTCTGGTAGTGATTTACAGAGTGGCTGTAACGATGGATGCTTGATGTCTAATTTGCACCTATAAATATGATGATCTCTAAACACTCACCAGTCCACAAAGAACTCCAGATAACCTTCATCTGGCACCATGGCTTTGGGTTTACCAATCTCTGCCTTAACTCCTACAAGAACATCTGTGTGACCCTGTCAAACACATCACACAACATCATGAATTACAAAACCGCTGGTGCTATTACTGCACATAAAACTGTTTACTTCCACATACAAGACTGATTTTAGCAGAACCAGCAGTGTTTGACACCACGTCCGTCTCGATCTCCATGTGTCTGTAGTCTTCACATTCTCGTCCGTCCAATCTCAGGTCATCCTGTCAAAAATATTCAGAATTTAACCCTCATGTTTTGTATGGCGTCTCAGAAAAGTATCAGGTTAATGTGATAACATATAATTTGTTTATTTTCTACAGTGTGTTTCTGCTTAATTGACACCAAGCAGGAAACTGTTTCTATCCTGAATGGCAGCCACCTTTCTGAAGTCGTTTAATAAAAATAAATGATCAAACGTGCGATTTTACTTACTCGAACTCCATGCATAATATAAACCTTCTCCGCTTCGCTTACTTCAACCGCCGCCATGTTTCAAACACACGCAGTACACTATGCGTCATCACAAAGCGCGAGAAGCAGACTGCGAAGGCGGAGCCTGGAGTTAATCGCCCAATCATATGCCAGTGCGTAAAAAGAGGGCGGGAAGATTTGCGAAATTTGTAATCTGATTGGATAAGAAATATGTCAAATCCTACAGCAGGACCTTCATTCAACGCACATGTGTGCTGTGCAGTATATCGTGAATGTGGTAAGTATATTCTATTTCAACAAATGGAAAACGAAATGATTTTGGTCATATTTAATACGCGTTTTACAGTAGATTGTAGATCGTTGATAGGTCAGATTTTTGGTTTTGCGTATTCAGTTGTATACTGTAAACATAAAGTGATCAATGGTTATGACTATACTTTTACAGTATTGCGATGCACAAACTGAACCATCATAATAATTTTTGACTCTTTACAAAAAACTGTACTGTGTTACTATGATACAGTGATGGTAATACCATGGAAATTTGAGATTCACTATGGCAGGGTTTTTCAATATTTTAGATGCCAAATTGCGGCAAATTATCATCCTCGTACGAGGGACACCCATCCGAAAATTTAAAAGGCATCTATATAGTTTCTTGTATAAAGACCCAATTTATACTGTGCAAGATTAACATTATAAATTTGTCTAAATATTATTTGGAAATTATTAAGTTTCAATTAAGTTAATTATTAGTTTTTTTTTTCATCTCATTATAGCACGTTACTGTAAAATTTATTATTTATTTTCTTATTTTAATCTAATTTTTATTTATCTATTTATTTTAATCTACATTTTATTTTAATCTTATTTTTATTATTTATTTAATTGTTATTCTGTGATTCTAGCTTATTAAAATTTTCTACTCATTATAGTGCTTTACTGTTAGGTGTATTATTTATTTTAATCCAATTTTTGTTTATTTGTATATTTTATTTGAATCTTTAATTTGTTATGTTATTTTTATTTTGTGATTCTAGCTGTCTGAGATTATTATTAATCTACGGCTTAAATTGTCTGTTTTCTTTTGCAGTTTGATTAGAAGGAAAAAAAATTTAAAAAACAAGAATAAACTTTGCGTCTGTCAACAGACCGAACCAAGATGCTTAGTGACGGTGAAGCTAAAGAACTGCTGTCATTTCTTACTTTGGAGATGAGAGCTGATGTCAAAGGTCAGGCTACGGGATACATCCTGGGCCTCACAGGGAATCGGGATGGGTGCCGGTACCTGCGGTCCAAGCCAGACTTTCTCAAAGCCTTGGTGACTCTAACCTGCGACCCCTCCATCGCCATTGTCAAGGACTGTTATCATGCCCTGATTAACCTCTCAGCAGATGAGACTCTTCACCAGCCTTTGGTCAAAGAGACGGACTTACTGGCCAGACTGTTCCAGAACCTCCTGGACCCGGAATATATGTTTGCAGATCGGATTTGTACTATTCTCAGTAACCTGAGCCGACATGAGCGGACGTGTAGAGATGTGTTCAACACTCTGCAGGAGCAGAAGATCAGACTGGACAAAGTGGTGGAGATCTTCTGCATGGAGGGTTTCAATAAGAAAGCTTCACTTCATTATCTGGGACCGCTGCTGTCCAACCTCACACAGCTGCCTGAGGCACGACACTTCATCCTGGACAAGGACAAGTAAGCTGTACTATGGCATTATGATGGTAATAATTCTATGGTACTGAATAATTACATTAAAAAAACACTGTACTAATCATAGCACTATTTTTAAAACCATGGTATTATCATAGTATGTGTAAAAACATGACATTTTTATTATATATGTCCAAAAACATAATATTATCATGGTAAAGGTAAAAAACATGATATTACCATGGTACATGTTCAGAAACATGGTATCATCAGGGAACAGTTCAAAAAACATGAAATTACCATAGTACATGTTCAAAAGCATGGTATTATAATGGTACAGGTCACAAAAACATGGTATTAGAATACGGGTTAAAAAAAACATGATATTATCATGGTACAAGTAAAAAAAAAAAAAAAAAACACCATATAACCATAGTAAACCTCCAAAAATATGGTATTATCATAAGTATTAAAAACAACAACAACATGATAGTACCGTAGTACATGTTCCAAAGCATGCTATTATCATGGTACGGGTAAAAGAAAAAAAAAAAAACATGATATTACCATAGTACATGACCAGAAACATGATATTATTATGGTATGGGTTAGAAAATATGATATTACCACGGTACATGTCCAAAAAAATTGTATTATCATGGTACGGGTCAAAACCCCCCCACAATATTACCATAGTACATATCCAAAAACATAGTATTGTCATGGTACGTGTCCAAAATATGGTATTATTATGGTATGGGTCAAAAAACATTATATTACCATGTTACCATGGTGATTGCATGGTGATTGTTTTATATGTGTTTCTACAGGTGTGTGATTCAGAGGCTTCTGCCGTACACACAGTACGAGGAATCGAGCACCAGGCGAGGAGGGGTGGTGGGAACACTCCGAAATTGCTGCTTTGAGTATGGTAAGAGTTATTCATCACGATTGGTTCAGTAATCTATGGTAATAGCATCTGATAAATGACTACATTTAAATGTAAAGAGCATGTGATTTGATTGCTGCAAATTTCATCCTTGAAAGGAAAGCCAATGCAAAAACTAGTCAAAGACAAATGAATAAAAATGCATTTAATTCTCATTAAACATGCCTTTTGTCTATACAGCTCATCATGAGTGGTTGCTCAGTGATGCGGTGGATATTTTACCATACCTTTTATTACCATTGGCTGGACCAGAAGAGCTCTCAGAGGAAGAGAATGAAGGTGATGCTTTTTAAATCATCTGGAGGTTTATGCTCTCCTGATCCAAGAACTCCAAATAATTTTTGTTTGTAGTGTAGAAACAAAAAAGCATTACTTTTCTTTCGTTTGTCCAGTAGGTGGCGCTGTTTACTAATTTTGATGATACACGGGTTGAATGTTTATTGTATTTCCCACAAAGTGTAAGGAAAATGGAAGGAGCAAAGTGGAAATACCATCATTACAGCAGGAGGTTGTGAATTTGCAAAGCAAGAATCTTTGTTCAAAGTTTGCGGTTTCATAAAAGCTGTTTGAAAAGTTTATATACACCATATTTTCCACGTATTCCTCATGCCTTTCTGACCAAAATAGTAGAGAAAGCTTCCTAGTTAATAAGTGACCTTAGAAGACCTTTCTATAATCCTTTCATAGTCTGTATAACTATAGCCCAAACAAACTTCAATCTATTTTAATAAGAGTATATTTGGACTATATAATTGGCAAGCATGATATTTACTATTTCTTATACTAAAGGTTTGAGATTTGAACAAACCCTGAATGATAGGATTGACAGCAAGCACCACTTTTCCTTCTGAAAACGTTTTAAAGGTGAAGTGTATGATCGTTGTGCCATTATTTTAACCGTAAACAATTACATACTTCACCTTTAACATAAGCATTCATGTAACTCTTACTGAGTTTTATTTGCATTTACAGGTTTGCCGGTGGACTTGCAATACCTGCCAGAAGATAAAAAGAGAGAAGATGATCCTGATATCCGCAAGATGCTCTTAGAAACCTTGATGCTCGTAAGAACAACATTTCAAATCTTTCATCAATCAAATCTATCATTTTCCTGTATTGAAGTTATTGACAACCGTTCAAATGTTTGGGGTCTGTAAGATTTTTAAATGCTTTTGAAAGTCTCTTTTGCTCACCAAAGCTGCATTTATTTGATCAAAAATGCAATAAAAACAGTAATATTGTAAAATATTATTACAATTTAAAATAACTGTTTTCTATTGGAATAATTTTTTTAAATGTAATGTATTCCTGTGAAGCCAAGCTGAATTTTCAGCAGCCATTACTTCAAGTCTATAGAGTCACATGTTCCTTCAGAAATCATTCTTATATGCTAATTTGCTACTCAAGAAACATTTCTTACTATTATCAATGTTGAAAACAGTTGTGCTACTTAATATTTCTGTGGAAACTGAGATACTTTTTTTCAGGATCCTTTTATTCATAGAAAGCAGCATTTATTTGAAATAGAAATCTTCTGTAATATTATAAATGTTGTTACTGCTGCTTTTAATCAATTTAAGGTGCTTTAATGTCTTTAAAAAAACTTTTGAACATTATATATATTTTTCCTCCTTTATGTTGGCTTGGCTATTCTTTAGTTCAGTTTCTTAATGATCTATTCATTTTCAGTTTACAGCTACTAAAGTGGGCCGACAGATTATGAAAAACAAGAACTCATATCCCATCATGAGAGAGTTTCACAAATGGGAGAAGGATTCTCTTGTGATTTCAGCCTGTGAGAAACTCGTCCAGGTATAGTCAAAATTCCTCTGAAAACATTTAAGGCAGCAGTGCATGTATCCTTCGCTGATAAAGCAATCCCAGAAAACACTGCAATGAGCTTAGAGAAGAAAACTAATTCAAGATGGCAGACAAGTTGATATTACGAGACTATTTTATCCAATATTTGTGGGTACTGTGTGTTGTTTATGCTTAGTGTATTAGCTTATAAGGTTCCATTTCAAATTAACGCAGTTCCATCCAATTGCATGATTGCATCTCTATTGCATCACTTTTGCAAGATCATCACATGCAACGTTTTCTGTCGATGTGGATTGTTGTGCTTTGGAAGACCCCAGACAGTAGACAGATCAGGTCCAGTTCTCCAAAACCAGGATTTATGAGTTTGGTCGAAAAAAATCGAGAGACACTAATTTGGTGGAAAAAGCCTGTTCCTTGCACCGTGGCAGCGTACAGCCCCATGGAAAAGATGTCACAGGGTCTCCTATTAAAGCATGATATTCTCCATAACGTCTGGGAGATCCCTTTTGAACTCCAGGCCAAAAGCAGTGGTTCGGCAGTTTGCCTCAACCCAACCATTTTAATTAGCATCAATAAAACAGCTAATATGCCAATCACAGAACGAGGCTAATATTTATCCAGGATTAATGGGCGCTTTTTCATAATGCAGCAGTTTTTAACTAACACGACTTTAACAGCTACAACTCAAGTTACTGAAGTTTTTCCATGTTGTCGGGTTCCCGAAATTGCTACTTGGGAATGACAGTAAAAGTGAAGCGCTGTCTGGCATCTCATTAGCTCCCGTCCTGCATCATTACCACTTTTCTCTCGATATGCGACTCTGACGGAACATGTTGAGGTCCATTAGGGTTTCATGTGCAATTATGTGTGTCTTTGATTAAGGTTTTGATTGGAGACGAGCCGGAGGCAGGAATGGAGAATCTGATGGAGGTGGAGATTCCCAAAGACGTGGAGGAAAAACTGAAGGAACTGGATGCCAAAGAGCAGGAACAAATGGAAAAGGACAAACAGGAATCCGAAAAGAAGCAAAATGAATCTCCAGAGGGTCTGGAGAGATAAACAGACATCAAAGCCAATAAAAAAACTTTACTTCCACAAATAGAGACTCTGTCAAGTTAAATGTCCAGCATCACTGAATAAAAGGTTCTGCATGAGATACCTGAGGATCATGATGCGTAGAAAATATTAGATTCTAAATGCACAAACCTGGTTATGGAAGAACATAGTTGGTTTCTATCTGGTTCAAGCTGGTTTATGTAGTTGCACATTCCACTAGCAGGTGGAGACCCGGTAAACCATCTTGGATAAGAGACCATGTGGTATGACTAGGTCATACAAACTTAAAGTGGTTTGTTGCTGGTCCAAGCTGGTCTAGTTTGGATTGTCAACCACCTAAATCAGCATGAAGCAGCTACAAACCAGCTCAAAAACAAAGAACCCACCTTAAATTGTGTTTAGATTTTCCAACAGGGTTAAAGACTTTGAATGCCCATTAGCTGTATCCTGAAGCTCATAATAAAGACACTTTGTATCAACACAGTCTGTAAAACCTAAATAAAGGGATTTTCATATCCCATTATTAGAGATAGTCTTTGAAATGACTGTGAGGTGATTAGTAATGAAATTACATTCAACTACAAACCTATATGAGCTATACAGATTGTGACTGTAACTTTAACTCTGTTACAGTATTTTGAAACTGATAATCTGTCAAGTTCATGTAAAAGGCTGTAATAAGAGATGAGGCTGTTTTGGACATGTCTGTTCAAAACTGTAGTTTGCTGCCCCCGTGTGGATATAATTCAGTTTTTAAAAGTCTTAACTGACTTAAATGGAGAAAATCTGTCCATCGTACGTTGGATTTCCTAGTCTCCGGTGTCAAGGCCATATATTCTTTAGAGCTGCTTTAACAAGATGTGAAAGGTTTTATACAAATAAAATGTACTTGACTAGGAGAAAAGCGACCAATTAATATAAATATGTATATACTTCGACTACACAAGCCATATTTGCGGTTCTGGTAAGTCAATAAAGCGTTACAGTCATGCAACACCAGCTATTTTCGTTGCCTAGCAACGTTGTTACGCCAGGGAGTAGGTCTTCTAGCGGCAGGGTGGTAATGCATTCATTTTTAAAGGGGTCATATGATGTGATTTCAAGTTTTCCTTTCTCTTTGGAGTGTTACAAGCTGATTGTGCAGTTTATATGTATGTACAACAAGGTTCATAGTTGCGGTTCTGGTGGGTCAATAAAGTGTTACAGCCGCGATAAATACGTTATGGCGCGCAAAAATGGTTCACATCGCTGCGCGAGACACCCATAGGGGGTCGCTATTTTTGATGCAGAAGGGTCTTTCCAGCCGGAAGGAAGGTAATTGTTGCATTTACTAAAGCATTTACTAAATAAAATAACGTTTGTAATTACATTTCTGAATGAAAATCTGTTTGTAATTGAAAAAAAAAATTTGAATTTTATTTTAAAGATGATAACTGGCATAAGAATATGAATGAAAAGAATCTACATCACTGGCAGAGTGTTATTGAAAGTCATTTATCTGTAAAGCCACAGGTGCCTGAGGCAATATTAATTCTTCTGACAGGCTGGTGAGTTTTAAAATGGAGATCCAGGTTTGATGAGGCCCTCTGCTGAGCGCCGTGTATGTTGGCAGTATTGAGGCGAGATGTTGAGCAGGTGGTAAGAGAATTAACCAGGAAGCCCAGAGAAAGCAGATGGATGTATGCCACTGAAAACAGATTCTACAGCAGGCCAGCGCAAACCAGGAAGAATAACAAATTACTTAAAATCAGTCAAAATAACACTAGCGCTTAAATAAGTGTCCACTGGGGTTATCATCACATCGCTGTGGTCCACATTTTGAGATGCCACATTCAAACTTCAACAGAAGAGGTCACATTTTACATCTTCAAACCACAAAAATATGAAAGAGAAAAGCAATTTGAGGTCAAACCATGCTTTAGACCAGACTAAACTGCTTAAAAGCCATGAGGTTGTGGTCCATAAATGGTGTGAAGCAAGCAACTGAGAAAAGGTGACACACTTTGCTCTGATGACGTGAGTAACAATAAGCCGTGTTGGAGAAGCTATAGTTCACAAGCTACTGGCTACTAGTAATTTAGAGTTTGAAAAACCACATTCAAGATCTTTTAAACTCGTTCACCAAGCTACTAGAAATTTAAAGGGATAGTTCACCCAAAAATGAAAATTACCCCATGATTTACTCACCCTCAAGCCTAGGTTTATATGACTTTTTTTCTTTCAGGCAAATAAAATATTAATTAATAGTTATATTAAAAAATGTCCTGGCTCTTCCAAGCTTTATAATGACAGTGAATGGGGGTCGAGATTTTGAAGCACAAAAAGTACGTCCATCCATCATAAAAAGTACTCCACATGGCTCCGGGGGGTTAATAAAGGCCTTCTGAAGCGAAGCGATGCGTTTGTGTTAGAAAAATATCCATATTTGAAACTTTATAAACCGTAATCTCTAGCTTCTGCTAACTGTTGTATGCGAGTTCATGAGAGAGTGGCGTTCCAGTGGACGACGTAGGCGTAGCATACGAAAGCGTGCGCCTATTTTCAAACAGTTAGCCACACTAAAATAACAAATACTAATTCAACATAATGTAGCTAACTAAACTGAAATTACTTAATATTTGGGGGCAATATCTTTTAAAATATTTATTATATTTATAAATGATATTTAGTATAACTAAACCAGAGCCATATTTTTTTCTAGTGCAAAAAAGATGAAGGTTTAACTATATAATGAAAGGATTCACTAAAATGAATTAGACTTTCCAACACTGCATTCTGTTTTATTAAAAAAAAGATTTATCATGACATAACCACGACACTTTGCCCATAAAGTCACCAAATGGTCGTTTACATTTTTAAATCTATATCTTAAAGTAATTTTGAAACCAGTATGTACTTGAAGGCAATGCAAACAATATTCTCTAGTCTTCCAGTACAGCTGTGTGAAGCTGGTTCACCTGAGAAGCAGATTTTGTTATCGGAAAAAAAAGATTTCCAAATTCATTGCGTGTTCCATACATGGTGACGGGTGATATATTTGCGAATTCTCTCTCACCTTCTCATGAGTTTTAACCTAAAACTGACACGTTTCATTTCATAAACCCTGTTGCCCATAAATCAGGGTAACACCAGTGTTTGGAGCGGGAAATAAAGCTCCTGTATCCCACCAGAATAACATTTGATGCCAAATGGCTCCACTTCATGGCGACCTCTGGCAACTGCAGCAAGCACCTCAGTTCACTGACTTGGATCCTCCTCTAGTTTTTATCCCCCTCTACAGTTCAACTTTACTGCCTAATTGAGTTCCTTATACTGACCACAGCGAGAATATCTTTGTGTTTAAACAGCTGTAAACCACAATTTAGCATCTCAGGAGCACAATGAACACTTTGAGGGAAAAAGAGGTGTACGCACACTTCCTCTGTCCCCAATCATCTCATCAAACAGGCCAGTTTGTAAATTAAATTTGATCATGAAATGTTTAGTGCAGTGGTATAAACCACACTCTTTACTGAACGGTCAAGTTCTCCTTTTGTTTGGCCTTCATATTTCTGTCAATGACACAACAATAATATTTTCATTGCAACCTTGAATACCGCAGTTAAAAGTCCAAAACGTAATTTATTTCTGCCCGTCTCTTTAAGAAGCATGTCGGGTTCAGCAGAAGTCTGTATCAACAGCTTTTGTGACATGATGTTGAGTACACTACCATTCAAAAGTTCAGAGTCAGTAAGATTTTTTTGTTTTTGAAAGAAATTAATACTTTTATTTAGTAAGGATGCATTGAAATGATCAAAAGTGACATTTATAATGTTACAAAAGATTCAGCACAACTGAAATGTTTCTCCACAAGCAAATCAGCATATTAGTATAATTCTTGAAGGATCATGTGACACTGAAGACTGGAGAAATGGCTGCTGAAAATTCAGCTTTGCATCACAGGAATAAATTACAATTGAAAATATATTAATATAGAAAACAGTTATTTTAAATTGTACTAATATTTCACAATATTCCTGTTTTTACAGTATTTTTGATCAAATAAATGCAGCTTTAGTGAGCATAAGAGACAAAAAATATTAAGAAAATCTTACTGACCACACATTTTTGAACAGTAGTTTCTGTATATTTAATAACAGCATTTAGAATATTTAGATTAATAGCCTACTTCATAATTAAAGAGGAATTATTTTGTGATAATATAAAATATTTTAATATGAATATATGAAAAATATTTTGTTTGGAGGTGAATTTCACTGTTCAAGCAACAAATGTCATATATTTGACCGTTTTCATTTGGTCACAGACTAAAGTTATTACTTCAGGTTGACATTTGCTATTACCGTGGGACAAAGAAATCAAAACCACATGTGCATTAGTGCACATCACAGTTTAGCGCTTTGTCAACGTGAACGTTTCTGCCCATTTTTCCCACGAATTGCTTTTTAAAGACCTGTGATGTTGCGCTACCTGGGCCGCCCCATCCGGAGGGTCACGGAGCTCCGCTGGCCGATGAAGATGGATCGAGGGGCGTCAGCAGCACTGGGAGTGTCAGCAGGAGGCAAACATGAGAGAAATTCAATGATTGAGCCCAGTAGTGCCGTTGCCGCCCTCCGCGCGCTCTCGCCGTGACACGTTGAGTGGCGCTGTGGAATCTGTGGCTTTCGCGCTTCCGCTGTTAAACGGTACCTGATCCTTCAGCGGGATCGAGAGGCCGCCGTCAGCCCGGAATCCCTTTCAGTCTCGGAACAAAACACACTCTAATGCAGTCAGTCAAAAGCGGGACCGGCCAAGGTCGTCTAAGCCTGTCTGATGAGCAGAAAGAAATGCTGGTCATATTGCGTCTGACCTCAATGTACATTCAAGTATTTTATTTTATTTTTTGCAAAAATGCATTTAAGGTAGGCTACTACACTCACTATTACGAATAAACTGACAAACAAACACAATTGTAAACTACTATTCGATATATAAATATCTGAACACTTTTTTTCATTCCCAGTCAATTTCTTATTACACAAAAAAATAATGCAAAAATCAACCAATCAATAAAAAACATTATTAAAAGGCAGGGTAAGCGA